CCCAAGAGTTGGAGGTTGCTGTAAGCTGTGAAGCCACGGCATTCTACCAAAGGCTAGAGTGAGACTCTGCCTCAAAAAGAAAAAAAAGAAAACAGCCTCCATTTCTAAGTGCAAGTTGTATGTAAATTGGATGTTTGTAATTTGGGGACTGCCTATAAACAAAGACAGTCCTCAGGTTTTAAATAAAACCTTTATTTTGGCTCAGCACCTGTAGCTCATCAGCCAGGGCGCCAGCCCATACAGTGGGGCTGGTGGGTTCAAACCTGACCCCAGCCTGCCAAAGAATGACCACTACAACAACAAAAAAAATATCTGGGCATTGTGCCGAGCGCCTATAGTCCCTGCTACTTGGGAGGCTGAGACAAGAGAATCGCTTAAGGCCAAGAGTTTGAGGTTGCTGTGAGCTGTGATGCCATGGCACTCTACAAAGGGGGTAGAGTTTTGGGACATTGTCTCAAAAAAAAAAAAAAAAAGTATTTTATCCCAAACTTCAAGTTGGAAATTGAAATGCATTTTTCCTTAGAAATAACATGTGGTTGTTTACTTCTGTTTCCTTAGATGTAGCATGTGGTTAGGCTCCCAGACTATCCCAAAAGCTCATCTGATCCATAATATTGGTAAAGAAGCCAATTTTGAATAGCAAATGTTTATCAGTATCCATTATCCCTTTACTAACCTACCACCTAACTCTCCCTAGGTAGTGTTCAACTGTTCCTTCCCTTTCCAGCATGTTCCTTTTTTTTTTTTTTTTGAGACAGACCCTAAAGATTTTCCCCTGGGTAGAGTGCCATGGCATCACAGCTGACAGCAACCTCAAACTCTTAGGCTTAAGTGATTCTCTTGCCTCAGCCTCCTAAGTAGCTGGGACGACAGGCACCCACTACAATGCCCAGCTGTTTTGTTATAGTTGTCATTGTTATTTAGCTGGCCCAGGATGAGTTCAAACCCGCCAGCCTCAGTGAATGTGACTGGTGCCATAACCATTATGCTATGGGCGCAGAGCCCCCTTTCCAGAATCTTCTTAACATTATTTCTCTAACATGGAGATTCAGTTCTTACTAAAATGATCTGTCCTAAACGAGCTAGCTTCAAAAAGTGAAAATTACCACCATGTAAGTTAAACATTACCTGATACACCCCTCTCCCCAGGACTGAAGATGCTGAGAACATTATCTTCCAGCATTCTAACCAGAATCCCATTTTCACATTTATCACCACATCTTCCCATTTTTATCACCCACACATACATACTGTTGTATCCCTAATGCCACAGTTAATTTTCAGCAACAATTTGAGAGAACTGTTAATCACTTTATACTTGCCCACTTTATTAGAATATCCCTGATAGATATCTTTTAGAGCCTCACCATGATGGGCTTTAGTATAGTTTTTTGTTTTTTTGTTTTTTTGTTTTTTTGAGACAGAGCCTCAACCTGTCCCCCTGGGTACAGTGCTGTGGCATCACAGCTCACAGCAACCTCCAACTCCTGAGCTCAAGCGAGTCTCCTGCCTCCACCTCCCAAGTTGCTGGGACCACAGGCACTCACCACAACACCTGGCTATTTTTTTTGGTTGCAGCCATCGTTGTTGTTTGGCAGGCCCAAGCTGGATTCAAACTCGCCACGTTAGGTGTATGTGCCTGGTGCCTTAGCCACTTGAGCCATAGGTGCTGAGCCAGCTTTTTGTAATTTGAGCCCACTAAGGTCGATGTAGTTTTTACCTGTCAACACAAGTGCTTCAAGTTGTATTTGGTGGTCTGTTATATCTGTAACTGAAGTTATTACAGGTGGCTGAAGTTTCAGAATCTTATTTCTAATAAAACTAATTTTAGTTCTCATCCTTTTTACTAGGTTCTTCATTTTACCATTTCAAAAAGTCTTATATAGATTTAAGTTTAAATGACAGGTTTTTTGATCTGGCTACATTTTTCATCACATCACTTTGCAGAATGTTCTTTGGTCAGTCAGAGCTATTTTAAGTACATTAACCGTATGAGGTGAAATATTCCAGCTCCTAAATAGTATGATCTGTGGGTAATGTTATCTAAAATATCTAAAATATTCATAGAGGAGGAACAATGGAAAACACTGCCTTGGCTCTGATGGGTATTAGCGCTAAAATTTTGGGCAGACTGGTTTGGGTGCTGCATACCCAAGTTCCAAAAGAACTATTACCTCGTTCCACAGAAAGTATGTATGTACAAAATGTTAAAGAAGTTTAACAATATGCTTTTTTCCAATGGAAAGGCATGTTCTTTGGTATTTTAATGGATATTAATGTGCTCATTATCAGTAGCTATTGCTGAGGAGGACTTTTACTTATCCTTTTAAACCTGTTTGTTCTACTTGGCTTTTGGGGTTTTGCCACACAGGAATTTCACAAATTAAAAAAAAAAAAAGTTGTTCAACATCTCCAAATTACCTGACACTATAGTGAAAAGAAAAAAAAAGTTAAGACATAGCTCCTTTTATCCCCGAAAGTGATCCATACCACCACGCATACACTTACCGGTAAAAATCTCCCAGGAGCCCAGCAGCTGATCTTCCCACAGGACACATGACCGCAGCTTGTGTTAGGTACTCCACTCCCATTACTAGTGCTTAAGAGATTAAAGGTACGTAAAGGGATAATTAAAAGTCCTATTTATTTAGCAACTACTATATACCAGAATAGGTACTGGACTTTTTTTAATACTTTAAAGACCTAGATGGCAATATAATGATAGTTAATGTTTGGAGAGATTATAACAACTTTGTCCATCTATTCACATTATTAGTCTGTGCTGTTTCCATGAAAAATAACAAACATGGTTGCAGGTTAACACAAAATATTACCAGTGTAAGGTTCAATGTGTCTATCTTCATATAGGATATTCAATAACCCACCTGAAAACATGGAAGAAACCAGCTCTAAGTTTCCTGTTTTTATCAAATATGCTTCTCGCCCTCTATACCGGTTTAGTTCATCAACGAGGTACTCTTGATGTAATGAGGTATATTCAAAAGATCTGTTACAACAGTCCCAATAAATCTTCAGCTTCAATACTTGTAATGATGCCTTGTCATTCTACTCCCTACTACAGGTAATAAAAATTGTTTCACTCTATACTATCCACAATTAAACTTCCTACTTTAAAATTCCCTTTCAGATTCCTAGATTTCAATTAATTGACCAATTTCAATTCAGTTTTAAACTTGGCTGGGCAGGGTAGTTCATGCCTGTAATCCTGGCACTCTGGGAGGCCAAGGAGGGTGGATCACCTAAGTGAGAGTGAGAAACCCCCAACTCTACAAAAATAGAAAAACTAGGTGGGCATCATGGCAGGTGCCTATAATCTCAACTATGCAGGAGGCTAAAACAAGAGAATTACTTGAGCCCAAGAGTTTGAGGTTGCTGTGAGCTATGATAAAGCCATGCACTCTACCCAGGGCAACAGAGTGAGACTCTGCCTCAAAATAAATAAATTTCTTTGGACATCACTTGTTTCACTTGTAAAAATTAGGGACAGCAACTATATGATATTATAATAATTGAATTATGTGTTCCTAGGAAATGTAAAATAGTAAAATTGCTTTAACTATGCAGGGCATTTAAAAAGACATCCATTTGGGAGACCGAGGCAGGTGGATTGCTTGAGCTCACAGGTTTGAGACCACCCTGAGTAAGAGCAAGACCCCATCTCTAATGGACATTATGGTGGGCACCTATAGTGCTAGCTACCTGGAAGGCTGAGTACAAGAGTTTGAGGTTACTGTGAGGTATGATGCCATGGCACTCTACCCCAGGGTGACTGAGATTCTGTTTCAAAAAATACATACACACACACACACACACACATATATATATATATATATTTGTCCAGTAAGGTACAGGGGGCAAAGCAGCTAGCTTTCCTATAGAAAATTCTTTAGTTAACTCAGTCTCAACATGGAGTTAATGTTTCATGTGCACATTCAGTATCACCATGGATGTCATTTGGGGGGAACTGTAACACTTCTAGAACACTATGTAACTTTAGCTGCTAACATCCTACTCCCCTCCCTGAAATGGAGTTCTATGCTTTACTTTAGTGTGGGCTTGCCAGTTAAGCTGCTCTACATAGGTCATGGATGATAATTACATTTTCATTCTTATTTTTTTTTTTTTTTTTTT